CCCTCACTGATTACACTGTAAATGATAATCTACCTTAACCAAAATCAAAGTAGACTATCACTCACCCACACCAGATGGAAAACTCTACAAACTGTATATATATATATATCGTCACAGACAGAACTGCCCGGTAAAACCGTAGGCAGAGAGAGAGAAGAGGACAACAAACGAGGGGCTATGACAAACTGTTTCGTCGGAGTTTCACCGACTCATATATATACATATATATATATATATATATATATTCTGTTTGTGACGATATATATATATATATATCGTCACAAACAAAACTGCCCGGTACGTGTGGGTGAGTGATAGTCGAATTTGATTTTGGTTAAGGTAGATTATCATTTACAGTGTAATCAGTGAGGGGATTCTGCAGATTGTTGAGTGTTCAGCCTCCTGATGAGTCAATGAAACTCCGACGAATATATATATATATATATATACACGGTTGCCAGGCCGAACGTACGGAGGCCCCTAAGCTGACCCCCGAACTTGAAGGGGTTCGGACCCCGGAAAAAAATATTTTGGCACCTAAATATTATTATTGTTTTCTGAAATTTGTTTTGTGAGTTCTTTGTGATGTAAGGTATCTCCCTCTTAAATGTGAAGCCATTCTGTCCAGCCAAAAAAAAATGAAAAATCCTCAAAGATGGTGGTGTCAAAACTTTCTTGCCCACTCACTAATTTGTTTTTTCTCTCTTTTCACTTTTTGTTTTTCTTTTATTTCGAGGCATGAAAAAAATTATGATTTTTTCAAACTTTATTTGTAGATTCTCTATTACGTAAGATACACATATATAAATTTTCATAGCATTTGTCAGAGCTAAACAAAAATGAAAAATCGCCAAAGATGGTGGTGTCAAAAACATGCTCGCCCACTCGATAATTTCATTCTCGTTTTATTTTTGCTGATTTTCATTAGTATTATTTATTTTTAGTATTGGATTTTTATTTCAAATTTGGTAAAGAATTTGGATGTAATGTTGAGGCAAATGTTGTTTAGTTTATTCTTATGCATAACATATATTGTTTTCAGATTTTTTGGAATTCGTTTTTGTTTTTTTTTTTCGCTCGGGGAGGGCTGCCTCTCTCTCTCTCGTCACTTCTATCTCCTTCTCTCTCTCTTGTCACTTCTATCTCCCTCCCTCTATCTCTTGTCACTTCTATCTCCCGCTCTCTCTCTCGTCACTTCTATCTCCCTCTCTCTCTCGTCAGTTCTATGTCCCTCTTTCTCTCTCGTCACTTCTATCACCCTCTCTCTCTCTCTTGTCACTTCTATCTCCCTCTCTCACTCGTCACTTCTATCTCCCTCTCTCTCTCGTCGCTTCTATCTCCCTCTCTCTCTCGCCAGTTCTATCTCCCTCTCTCTCTCGTCACTTCTATCTCCCTCTCTCTCTTGTCACTTCTATCGCTCTCTTTCTCTCCGCACTTGCAGTAATTTGGGAGCTGAATGGTGGAGGCACCTCGTTTTTTTCTTTTCTTTGTTGCCAATCCAGTTCAGGCATAGCTCTTCAACAGCCGTAACGAACATATTCATGACCAATCAAGCAATCAATCAGTCAATCAACCTTCATCAATTGATTGATTGGCTGATTGGCTGATTGGTTGATTGGTTGATTGGTTGATTGGTTGATTGGTTGAATGATGGATTGGTGGTGGGGGTCGGACTTTCTATTTGCTTTCCTTTTCAGGCACAGGTCTCATTCAACCAACCAATCATTCGATCGACCGATCGATCTCGATCGATCAACCTATCGATCCATCAATCAATCCATCAATCCATCAATCAATCAATCATCTGATTGATTGATTGATTGATTGACTGATGGGAGGAGGTGAAATTGAGGTTGGGAAGCGTGGGAGGAACTGGCTCTAACACAAGTCGTGCTTTGCTGTTTGCTCGGTTGTTTGCAGGATGCCGAAGCACGGCTGCGAGACTGTAAAGAAACATTATGAGGACTTGGGGCCCAGTGGCCCAGCGGACAAAGGAAATAGGAACAGGAAACGCAAATATTGCGGGAGGATGGTCGTCGGGACTGCAAGCAGGGCCAAGAAGCATTTCCTTGAAAACAGGTGCAATCTTGGGCCGTTGAAGGCGACACTGAGCAAAGAGGAGTTGCAGGAGAGGGAAAGGGGGAGGAATGCCGCAATTAGAGAGCTCGGGGGGGTTGGTGCACCTGCTGATGTGTCCTCCGAAGAGGATGAATGTGAGGCAAGTGAGGGAGAGGAACCGAAGTCTGCAACACGGACTACTGTAGGGGCATCCACTTCAAAGACCGGGATGAGGCAGTCCTTGATCACGGACAATGTCACAGTCATGTCGAAGAATGAGGATACGCAGCGCTCGATCAATGATTGGATGACTGCCCACTGTATCCCCTTCAACATGATGAAGAGCGAGGAGTGGGACAACATGGTGAAGGCGTTGATGAACGCCCACGAATCCTTCAAGTACGCAAAGTACGAGAAAGCAAGGACCACTCGTGTGGAGGTCACCAAGGGGAGGGTTGCAGCAATGGTGGAGGAACTGCGGCGGCAGTGGCCTTCTACAGATAGCTTGCTGCAACTGGACGGTTGGACAGATCATCGCTCCAGGCCACACATCAACGTTATGGTCTCGTTCCCAAAAGGCTCCATCTTTTGGAGGAGTGTTTGCATGAGCAATCGGGACAAGGGCGCGGTATCGTACTACGAGATACTGAAGAGGGCAATCGCGGAGGTTGGGCAGGATGCGGTCGTGGGCATTGTCATGGACAATGCCACAGTGTGCGCAGCTGCAGGACGCATGATCGAGGCCGAGTTCTCGCATATCTTCTCGATCGGTTTCACTGCGCACAACATCGACTTGATGTTGGAGGCATTCACGAAGATCGGATGGGTTGATGCTGCAATCAAGCGCGCAGTGGACATTGCAAAGTTCTTCACGAATCATACACGCATGAGGGACCTATTGCTCTCAAAGTCTAACGGGGAGGTCGTGGCAAAACCGGGCGCAACCCGGTTTGCCACAAATTTCATCATGTTGAGCAGCCTTCAACGACTGTACCTTCCTCTTCGTTCTTGTTTGCTTGATGCAGCATGGAAGGAGAGCATTGTGCTGCCCACACAGCGGCATCTATTCCATGTAGCCACCGAATGCATCCTTGACAACTCGTTTTGGTCCGGCATGGAGAAGGTAATGGAGAGCTCGAAGGGCCTGCTCGGTCTCTTGAAGTTTGTGGATGGCAATGGCCCCACAATGAGCAAGATCTATGGCCGCATGGACAACTTGGTGGAGAAGCTCAAAGAGAACGAGTTCTTCACGAAAACGGAGAAGGACGAGTTGGAGGCGATCATAATGCCGCGTTGGAATGCCATGACATCAACACTACATTGCGCAGCAATGTTTTTGGACCCTGAGTTCAAAGCCAACAAGCCGGAGCAAGATCTGGAGGTTGCAGACTGGTTCTGGACGTGGGTATACTCTTGGTGCAAGTGGCCGATGTACAAGACGGTGGACGAAGAGGTTAACAATTGGATCGACGGTGTTGGGAAGTTCAGGTCCGAGAAGGCGATCGAAGAAGCACATGGGACGCAGCCTGCACGATGGTGGAGGAAATGGTGCAGCGAGCTGCCCCATCTCCAAAGGCAAGCAATCCGTTTGCTTGGCCAGGGGTCCTCCTCCTCCAACTGTGAACGAAATTGGAGCCTCTTCGAGCGCATCCACTCCCGCCCACGGAATAAGCTTGAAACAGTCAAGCTTAACACCTTGGTCTACAACAGATGGAATCAGCATTTGTTGAAGAAGTTGACCAAGAAGCCCAAGCCCGGTGAGGATGACCTTTTGTGGGAGGAGGATTTGGACCTCGAGAAGAAGGAGGTCGCTGCGGATGCTACGATGCACGTGGAAAGGCGCTCGCGTGTTTGCAAGTTGAATGAGGGGCGGGAGGGCAATGGCGATGATGATGATGAGGAGGAGGGTGACGATGAGGATGTTGTCGAAGAAGAGGAGGAGAGAGACGAAGGTGAGGGACACATGGTGAGCACAAGGATTCAGAGCAATCTCTTGGAGCTTGAGAAAGAGCTCAACGAGTCATGGCGGAAAGTACTTGGCTCGGCTGCATTTAGGGGAGTTGCAGCGGGCCATGAAGACCATGAGCGATTCGCATGCCGAGAAATTTCTGGCTTCCCGTTCGAAGGCATCTGCGTTGGCACCAAAAACCGTCAAACGTGGACCGGGAAGACCGCGAAAGGTCGTGGAGGAACCTGCTGCAATGGATGAGAGTGGCGGGAGGAAGGAGAATGCTGAGGAGGGGGGGGGCAATGATTCTCAAGCACAACCTGCTGCATTGGCTACCAAACCAGGTAAACGACCACCGGGTAGACCACAGAAGGTCGTGGAGGAGATTGCTGCAGCAGAGGGAAGTGGTGGGGCGGATGAGAATGCAGCGGAGGAGGAAGACTGCGATTCTGATGAACAACCTCTTCATTGCGGAAAGCAATGCAAGCAATCACACTAAGAAGGGAGAGTCGGGGCTGGAGTCTGTGTGCAGCAGTGTGTTAAACCAGGCTGGTAGATCTGTTTCTCGAATGTCTGATTGAGAAAGTTTGTTGAACTTGTCTTTCTCTGAACAGTTGGAGATCGTATGCTGTCTATTTCAGTTATGAAATTTATTTCAGAAATTCTGCAATCTTGTGTGTGTGTGTGTGTGTGCGCGCGTCACCGTCTGTGTGTGTGAATGTGTTCAAGTTCGTGGAGGAACCTGCTGCAATGGATGAGAGTGGCGGGGGGAAGGAGAATGCCGAGGAGGGGGGGGGGGGGGGGGGGGGGGGGGGGGGGGGGGGGGGGGGGGGGGGGATGATTCCCACACATCAATTTTTTTTTTTTTTTTAATCCGGACATCCGGACTGGGGCATATGTAACCGGACCATCCGGGTCCGCATGTCCGGTTGTCCAGATGCATGTCCAGATAACCGGACATCCGGATAAAACGGAACACATGTTCGGGGCCGGTGTCCGGTGTCCAGATGTCCGGGTCCGGGGCAACCATGACCGGAAAGAGGTGGTACTTGTGATATTTCAGGTTGGGATGCTTTTTATCTAGCTGTATTTTGGATGCTAAATACGATAGGATGGGTAACATTTTATTGGCATTGGAAACGTATACTCTTTGGCAGGGAAATGTATCTCAATTTAATGAGTCATCTACTTATTTAATGGGATGGTTAAGAGATTATTTATCGTTAAACTCATCTCAGCTTATCATTTCATTATCAATTGGTTGCCAAGTGCCAGGATCAACAAGTACTTCGATTCTAATAATATAATACATATAATTAAATTCATCGTAATAGAAATCAATAATAATAATAATAATAATAATAATAAATATAATAAATATATATTGTCACATAAATGTTGACTAAGAGCGTATAAGCACGTGAAGTAGAAGACGAAATAAGATGAGCGAAGAAAAGAAAAATGAAAGGACAGACAGGCAAAGAGACAAACTAGAATGACACAAAACAGTGTCCTCTTCTTCTTTGATTCACTGTATTCTTATTTCTTCCAGGTTTTTACAAAATGTTTTTACACTGAACAAAGGATAAAAATAAAAAACAAAGACAAACTGAAATCATTCAATTTCTCAGTCTTCTTAACTCCTCCTCCTCCGTGCCTCTAACGTACAAGGCCCACCACGTTGATGAAGTTGAGCGGGAACTGCCCCCATCCCTGTGTGCCATAACAGCCCACTTGCACGCTATGGGAAAGAGGCAGAGTGAAGGAAGAGGTGTCAAACACAAGGGAGAGAGGATCAGAAAAGGAAAATCGATAGGCAGAGGGAGAAAAAATAAAAATAAAATAAGGGTGACACAAACATCTTCTTTCTTTTACTGCATTCTTCGTTCTTTCGCAGTTTTGCAGTTTTGGTGAAGAATCTACCACGTTCATTTTTCAGCACACCTGCAATTCCTTCTTCATTTTTTTTTCTCATTTTCACCCTTCGGACTTTTCCTTCGAGGGTGTTAGGGTGCAGGGTACAAACAAAGTAAAATGACACAAACTATGTTCTTCTTGTACTGCATTCTTCATTGTTTTGCTTTTTTTTTTTTTTTTTTTAAACACCCCCGCCGGTGTTAGTGCTGCTGGTAAGAGCAGACACCGCTAACACCTGGGGAGAGGCTCCATCTATTAGTGGGGAGCGTCACCTGCTGGAAAACGGGTCCAACGTCCCTTGAAAGAAAACATCTTGAGAAGGTGAAAAACAGTGTGAGGTCTGCCAACATTGATTATTGGTTGAGCAGACCCTGTGAGAATAGTACTGTTTTGCAGTTTTAGTGAAGGGTTTCCCAACTTTGCACATTCTTGTACACTCTTTTCAGCGCACCTGCACATTTTTGTCAGGGTGCAAGGTACATCTAAGTAAGACCCTCACGACAAATAGGACAACTATCCTAAGGATGCGGGCGATGGCAGAGGGCATGTTGGTTGCAGGCCATGACGATTGTGGGGTGTTCACCATCACAGTTAAGTGCACATTCGCTATAGCACCCGTAGGCACTGATGGGACATACTGCATCTGGATGCAAAGGACGTTCACATTCCGGATACATGTGGCATCCCTGCCGACAGTGGGCCCGAAAAATTATATGAATGTAGTGATGTCGACAAAGTCGATGCTTTCCACAACCAAGTGTAACTGTGTCATTGATCTCACAAAGAAGGAGGTCACAAGGTGTTAGTGCAGCACGTGGGGGAATGAAGACTAAAGCAGGCACACGGTGACAGACATGGAGGTAGGCATGGAGACAGACACAGAAATGGGTGCGGAGACAGATACGGAAACGTCCATGGAGACAGGTGCGGAGGCAGGCACAGAGACAGGTGCAGAGGCGGGGACAGAAGTACACGAGGTACCTATAGGGTTAGTAACCTGGAAGAGACAGACACAAAAATAGGCACAGAGATAGGTATGGAGGCAGGCACAGAGATAGGCATAGAGGCGGGCATGGAAGTACACGAGGTACCCATAGGGTCAATGACTTGGAGCAGTTGCAAGTTAGGCTAATTACGCACGAGATCGCATATGGCAGTAATAGTTTTCACCATAGCACCACCATTCCATAATTCCAAGAGCCAGAGGCACTGACAAGAGCGGTGTAAAGGCCAAGAGTATGTAGAATATAGGCACAAACGTGCGAACAGTGGTCCGGGTCGCCACCAAAAGGGGCACGTTGCATATCAAGTCGACGCCTTATCAAAGCAGTCTCCAAAATAGAGACATTGAATCCCCCATGTCGAGTGTTACTATCCTGTGGGGGATGCAGAGTCGGGTTATCGCCATATAACTCACGTTCTTGAGCATCAAGATCGGAAGCAATGGCCTGTGAATCAGAGTAAGTATATGGTTCTCGACGATAGGCTTGTAGGCAGATGTTAGTAGCAGCAAGACCACACAGATTTGGTCAAGGTTCGTCAGGCAGATTTTCTACAGGATCTCCTACAGTCCCCTTGCCAAGTTCATCCTCAAATGGTCCTTCACCACCATCCCTCCTATTTTGTATTTGCCGCATTGCAGAAAGGTCTTCAGTCGAAGAGCGTCGCAGGTGTGGTAAGGATGCTTGGGGCGGCAAAAGACGGGGACGCGATGTTGGGGAGGGCCGTGGTGGGGAGAATGAACGGGTTCTTCTTCGTCCAAGAATAGAGATGGCGGAAAGGGGAGTAAGCTGAGGTTGGGGAGTAAGACGGCGTTTAGGACGTCGACGTAGGCTTTCTGCAAGGGCAAAACAGGATGACGAAGTCTGTGTGGATGAAGTGGTTTGTGGATTAGGAAGAGGGGTAACGAATGGAGACAAAACCAGGGGAGGTAGGAGTGGTGAAGACAGGGGTGGTAGAGTAGTCGGAAGGTGGGTAACAGACGGAGACAAATCCAAGGGAAATAAAGGCGGTGAAGACGGGGGTGATGAAGCCAGGGGTGGTGAAGTGGCTGACGCAGAGACAAGGGGGGTAGTCGTAGGTGAGACCCGAAGAGGGGACACTGCAAGTGGTAATGCAGGCATGGCCACTGATTCCATGGAGGAACACACCGAGACCAAGGGCGATACAATAGTTGTGGGTCGAGTTGCTCCCGCGGAATCAATCGTAGAAGCAACCAAGGCCAATGAGGAAGAGGTTGCGAACCGACAAGGGGCAGCCAGCGTCACAAACGACATGGAAGGGGCTACCAAGACTTATGAAGATGCATGTGCGATAGACGCAAGTAATGAAGAAGAGGTTATGATAGGTGTGACAGGCGCCGGTAATGAAGAAGGGGTTGTGACAGGCGTAGTCCGAGGACAGTGTGTGGATACCCAAGAAAACGGGTGGTGAATAGACCATTGAAGCATGCTGCTGAACCAGCTGGAGAGGGAGGTCACATGCGCAGGGTACCTGTGTTGACGTTTATGAATATAGGAAGTCCATCCTTTCGCAAGAGTTGTTGGAGAGTGCCCGTGAAAAAGCATGCAGCGTGTGAGCACCATTGCTGCAGTTTTGAAACCATACCAGTTGTTGCGGACATACTCAAACCTAGTAAGCTGGCCTGTAAACACTCCCACCGACTGGTGCGCAAGAATGTTGGATGTAGCACTAGGATGACGACTAACAGGGAAATTCCATTCATCTACTTCGTCAAAGACACTCGTATGCAGGTAACCGTTTGGGCGGACGTGGAGGCGTGCACCCAAGAATGTGCAAGACCCATCAGGCGTTGTGGTATCCTTCCATTCGAGGCCATAGTGCTCTGACTGTGGTGGCAGAGCTCCCCATGAGAGAACATCATCGATCAAGCGGCATGTGAACGCATACTGCTAAGCTGTGCGAAGATCACACCGCTGGAGGTCATCACCAAAGCGAGCCTCATCCCATTACAACGTCAAATTAGCTATCTACGGACCAGAATTAGTCCCCATATATATATATATCGTCATATCGTCACACACACATATATATCGTCACAAATATATATATATATATATATATATATATATATATATATATATATATATATATATATATATATATATATCATGGTAACCGATTGGACGTCCGGACCGGTTTCCAGACAACGCCAAACATTTTGCAAGGGGCCGGTGTCCGGTCCTGGACGTCCGGAACGGCCCCCTCCATGAAAATTCGAAAAAAAAGGGGCCTTGGAGGACGTTTTTCAGGTCCTCGTCGGCCCCTGAAAAATGCCAAGCCAATTTTTTGGCTTTTTTGGGTCCTACCGGACATAGGTCGAAGGCCGGACCCGCCACAGTCTGTGCAGACTCAGGTGGGGTGGCGGGAGGCAGGGCCAGCATTTTCGAAGTTTGAACTTCGAACTGGTCGTTTTTCGAGTCTGGAGGGCGCGCTGTTCGGAAGCCGTCGACTGCTGCCCGTCGCATCTCCCCTGCAGCCCCTCGGCCATCGCCGACGAAACACGAAGCCACCGCCAGCGTCCAAGAACCATCAAGCGGCCGCCATCGTCCAGCCCTCGCCGCCGTACCAGCCAGCCACCGCCGTCGCCCAAGAAGCAGGTCAGTCTCTCTCTCTCTCTCTCTC